AGACCCCTCATCACAGCAAGGGTACGAACAAACCCGGGGTGTTCTCTACGCTTCTCTGACGGTTGGGGGCCAGCCGGTCACACAACAAGGGGCGTCGTCGGGGCAAATTTTATCTCAAGAGGAGTACATCCCACCCCAGCAGACACTGTCCCAACGTGCGAGGCGTAGACCGGCGGCCAACGTTGGTGGAGGGGGTGGAGGGAGAAGACGCCGTGCAGCCGAACCCGCCACTGCAGTCCCCGGGACTGAAGAAGACGAACAAGGTGAGATTTTTTTTACTTAACTACAAATATGTATTTATTTTCATTTCTTTTTATTTATTTGTTCGGTCGAATTATTGATTTTTTTCAAAAATTAATTAATTTTGTGAAGAAGAACAAGAACCAGTCACGCCTGGACAGACCGCAACATCGTCTTCTTCAGTACCACGGCCTCCTCGGAAAGGGTCCCGAATACGCAAGCCCAAGAATCCATATACTCCTAGTTAGTTAATTTTATTTTTTTTATTGGATTTTGAGATATTTAATTTGATGGTTTTGTGTACATATTTCGTGGTTCATTTTTTTTTTTATCGTTAATTGTGCTTCACTTTTTTGTACTAGATTATTAGTTGACGAATGAATTGATATTAAAGTGATATTGTTTCGTGTTCAAAATGTTAAATCAAAATTTATAAAAAATCTTCATATTGAAAGATAACAATATAAATTCAGCCAAAATAAACGCGTTCGGTAGTAACAAGCTCGTGAGCATCCAAGAGTCGAGCCCTAACTCAAAATAAATAAATAAATAAACCAAAAAATTAAATTTTATTATATAACAATCTCAGTCAATTATAAAATATATGTATATAGTATATATTAAAAGAAACTATATACTATAAAAAATATTTATATTCAAGTATAAGAATAAAATTTGTGCACAAATAATAGTGATAGCCTAGAGCGGCCTAATGGTAGGAGGTGTGCCTGTAGAAAACAGACTCACCCACGTGTACAGGGTTCGAGTCCTCAATCCGGGTTCCTTCTACCATTTTTTTTTTCACGAACGCGGATTCTGAAAATCCGTGTTAATTCTAAATCTACATAAACACGGATTTTCAGAATCCGTGTTGTATTTAATATAAAAAAAAATGAATAAATACTTAAACACAGATTTTGAAATTCCGTTTTGCTTATTAACACGGATTTCTAAATTCCGTGTTTTTTAAAACGGATTATCATAATCCGTGTTTTGTTTAGTTAATTAGTGTTAATTACGAGATTAAGTAAACACGGATTGTAGTAATCCGTGTTTAGTTCACAATTAATAGAACACGGATTTTTAAAATCCGTGGTTGTGGTAAAATTAAACTTACACGGATTTTCAAAATCCGTGTTTCTGTAAAACACGGATTTTTAAAATCCGTCAATTTTATTTTTGTCCACAATTTTTTTTTTTTTTTTTGTTTTNNNNTTTTATTTTAGTCCACTTATTTTTTATTTTTTTTTAAATAAATAAATGATTCGTCTTTTCAAGTATATCATTATTTTCCTTTGTTGAGAGAGCACGTGAAGGGTTTTATTACAGTATATGGTAATATCACGGGAGATTTAATAGTGAATCTAGTGAAGGTAATGTTTCTTGTTCGTTGTCCTTATTTACTTTATTGTCAACTTCTGTAGGTAAGTACCCTACTGACATCATCATTTCATTTTATATAGTATTTTAAATTAATTTTCCTCGGGAAAACTATTTTTTTTTTTTTGTTTTCTTACAATAGTACGATGGTCCCACCTTTTTTTTCACCTCGGTAAAATAATAATAATAATAAATAAATAAATAATTATCAAATTCAAATTGTAGGTTGATGTTCGGAACCGAAACCGGCGATTCAATACTTTTAAAAACATGAACTGAAACGACTTGGACCAAACTCCTGGCCGGTTCACAAACCGTGGACAACGGTCCAGGGCGGTTCCGACCCGTGGTCATGAACATACAATGCCATGCCATTATTAACACAAGATTGACATAAAATTTAACATAAATGATAAAAAGATTTTATAGTTTTACACATCTAAAATCAATAGTTCTTACATTTATACATCATTTATGTCATCTATTATGTTAAAAAATTATATCACATCCAATTCATTATTGCAACCAAACCAACCCTTAATGTAATTTAACTAAAATTGTGTCATCATTTACGAAAATGAAATGTCATGTATGCATTTGTAATTTTTATATTTTTTTTTTATAAGTGGCACATTTTGCTGAAATTTACAAAAAAATTAGTTTTATGTTTGCAATTGAGCTGAAATCCACAAAAATTAGTGTTATGTTTGCATTTAAAACTAGCCCAAAAATCTAAATGGCTAGTCCATTTAACATCTAAATGTGAATGTGGCCCATGATATTATCAGAAATATAAATAAACACAACTACCACTATAACAATAATAACCACACCTCTTTTTTTTNTTTTTTTTTTTTTTTTTTTTTGGTTTTTTGCATTCTTGATAACAATAATGCAATCATCATAATTCATTCATAAGAAAGAAAATTCTAACAAACTTTGCAACTATAAAAAAAAAATAAAAAATAGATTATTAAATTTAAATTTCTAAAAATAAAAATAAGCAAAAGTTATCACTTATTATTATTATTATTAATTTATTACCATTGTACACATCTAAAATTAAATCACTAGAGCACATTAAATGACATCAAACTACCACACACACACACACACACACTACACACTCAAGGAATGATTGGGCCAAAGGCTCTACACTCATTCAATGACTTCTGTACCCCACCCTCACAGAAAAACCACCTCACCGGACACCGGTACAGGCAGTTGTCCCCCAGCCGGACCGTGACCGACCCCGCTTTCAGGCCCAGAAACCCACCCGGTATCGGCCCGTACAAATAATTCCCACCCAACAACAGCCTCTCAAATTGGGACGCCGCCCCTTGGCCCGTTCCTGGGCCCATCACCTTCAACACGTACTGGGTCGGAATCAAACCCGAGAACTGATTATTCTCCAACGACAAAGCCGATAGACAGGTCATTAGACCCATGAATCCGGGTAAAAACCCGTGAATTTGGTTGTTGCTCAGGTCAACGGATATGAGTTGACTGCCCGAACCCGAGTCGCCGGGTATTTCGATCGACCCAAATTGGTTATATGATAATGTTAGTTGCTCTAGAGACGGGTGGGCGAACAAACCCGCAGGTATCGACCCGGTGAGTTGGTTGTGGCTCAAGTCCATCACCTGTCAAGAATGTTAAGAATAATATAGAATTCGAACCCGTTAATTTTATTATTATTTTTTTCTTCAGAACGATAGAAATTAAATAAAAAATACATAATTACATCTAGAAACAAGCTACCAGCCGAGAGAGAGCCCTTTATTAGTTAGATTAAAATTTATGTCATTGATTATACCAATCTAGGTTACAAAAAATTTCTTTTATTATCCAGATTTTTGTTCAAAACATAAATTTCTATAAGTTTTTTAATTTTGTTTAGGGGTGAGCAATGTTGCGATTCGGTGCAAAACCGCACCAACTTGTACGTTTCGACTCGATTTTTTTCTATGCATTTGGGTTCAAAAATAGAACCGGAGTGCGATACACATTTCATACACTAAAGGTATAAACGAAACCGCACTAAATTGTATGTTTCGACTCGATTTTTATATGCATTTGGGTTCGCTTCGTTGCAAAACCGTACTGAATAAAAAAGGTTCGACTCAATTTTTCGATTTTCCAGTGCATTTGGGTTCGGTTCGCGTAAAACAACACCAAATCTACAAAGATCGTGAAAATCGAACTTATGAAAAAATAATCGAACCACATTACAAGACGTAAAAATTAAAGTCAACATTTTCTACACTAAACTAACTGATTCGAATTGCACAAATACAATCCAACTCGCTTTTTGTTTTTATAAGGTCTTTTTATAGGAAATTGAGAATAATGTGAATACACTCACATTCAGATACATCATTAATTTCCAAAAGCATTTATTTAATTTGTATATTATTTAGAAAATCAAGAGAATTAATTATTAGTTTTATATTTATTACGGTCACCTGAAGGAAAGCTGAGTGCGCCACCAAGCCCGCCGGAATATTCCCCTCCAACTGATTATTCCTCATCGCTATCTCGACGAGGGCAGGCGGCAGGGACGCCGGAAGGCCGCCCGAAATGGCGTTGTCACTGGCGTCGAGGAAACTGAGGCTACCGAGTCGACCCAGATCGGGAAACTCGCCCCCGAGTCGGTTCCCTTGGATCTCGAGCCTTTTCAAATTAGCGAGGCTGTTGAGGCTCGAGGGGACGGTCCCCGTGAGATTGTTTCTGTCAAGGCACATCTCCTCCAGCCCCGCGAGCGAGCCGAGCGAGTCGGGGATCGGGCCGGAGAGCGAGTTGCCGGACAGGCCGAGCCGCCTGAGCCGGGTCAGGGCGGAGAGAGATTCGGGTATGGGACCCGAGAAGTTGTTGTCGGAGAGGTCGAGGATCTGGAGGTAGGGGGCGGCGGACCATGGGACGGCGGCGAGGGAGCCGGAGTAGCCGGCGGGGTCGAGGGAGAGCTCGGTGACGCGGGCGGCGGCGGAGGAGGAGTTGCAGCGGAGGCCGCAGGTGAATTTGTCGGAGAAGAGGTTGTCGCAGGGGTCGAGGGTGAAGTCCCATGAGTCGATGCAGGAACCAGGGGGGATAGTGCTTTGGGCGATTGTACGTTTGAGCTGCTTCAGGAGTTGTACGTCGGAGTGGTGGGTGGCGGAGTGGGTGGGCGTGGGGAGGCGAAGGACGGCGGCGGCGGCGATTGTGAGGAATAAAGTGAGGAGGTAAGAGGAAGAAAGGGAGATTGCCATTTGGTTTGGGTTTTGAATTTTATTATAATTGTTTTTTTGGTTTTAATTCAAGAGAAGGATAAAGCCTTTTGAGTTTGAATTTCACGTTTTTTTTTTTAAATGAAATAAAAGATAGTAGCACAGATATCGATGTGTGAAAATATCAAAAATATAGTTGAGGTCATGAACTCATGGTCTGTGATATATATATTCCACTGGTTGGGCATAATTATTCATCAACCAGCACGATACTGTTGCTTTGAAATTTCGTACACTGTATTACAAAAAAATTGTTATATTTCAACAAAAATTTTACGAATCTATTGCAATATTGTATGCCAACATACGTAATATAACAACCATTTTTATATTGGAGATAATTTATGTTTGTCGGCTCGATTCACTCGTTGTTGGAAGTAATGATCAAGATCTTTGACCTCATCGACACTTCGAATGAACAGCGAGTGAGACATTCAGTATGTTCTACAAAATATGGGCTCGTTATACAATGAATTTTCTGAAAAAATCATTGTACAACCTACGATCAGTACGTAGCCTCTCGATCATGACTGATGAAGATACGCACATAACTTCCATCGGAGGCTTGGTGGTTATGTTGATGGAGAAATTGTTGAATGATCATGTTGTTATTAGCGACCTTTTTGTTTTTGCCGAAGAGTATTAATAATTAGAATATTATCATCATCATCACGTGAAGAACATGAAGAATTCCCGAAATTAAAATGCATTGAAGATATTAGAGATGTAGGATAAGGGAAATATGATGATATATTTGAATAAATTGAAGTGTGTGATAATAACCATATGTTTGTTTTATAGTAGTGCATTTAAAAAGTAAGAACCTTTGCAGAAATTGGTCGCTTCGGGTCAAAGCTTTGAGAGACGAGGGGGTCCTTGCAGTGAATGGTCAATTTAAAGTCAGAACATGGAGAACGACGAAAAATTTTGCTGGGAGTGGTCATTTCGGGTCAAAGCATTGAGAGACGTGAGGATCTTTTCAGTGAGTTGTTATTTTTGAGTCAGAACGCATAAAAGTGTAATTACCTTTTCAAATAGTGGTTATTTCAGGCCAAAGCATTGAGAGCACGAGGGTCTTTGCGGTAACCAGTTGGCATTTTTGGGTAATAACATAGAGAAGTAGTGTGAGAACTTTTGTTGAGAGTGGTCATTTTGGGTCAAAATATTGAGAGACGTGAGGGTCTTTTCAGTGAGTTGTTGGGCTAGAACATGTAGAAATGTGAGAACTTTTTCAGTGAATGATCATTCCGGGTCAAAGCCTTGAGAGCGTGGGGGTCTTTGCAGTGAGTGGTCAATTTCAAGTTAGAATTATTGGGAGGGGTGAGACATTTGCAAAGAGTGATTATATTCGGAACAAAGTATTTGGATATGTAAATTATTCACTAAAAAATATATATGGTATTGTACTGGCTACCTCTCAACATTTTAGTTCTATACACTAAACCTTTATCACATTAACTTCTTGTGAGAATGTTGATCCGCTCATCTTCCGATAACCACAATGAAGATATTCTTTTATGTCGGGATTATATGAATATTTCTCATGACCCAATGTCCCCCAAAACAAGAAATTCACATCAACAAGTGGAACGAGATTGCAGGAGTCCATGAAGAACAACCCGAAGCTACTCTAAGCTTCGTGCAAGAAGATGTTCATATATATATACACACAAAATAAAGATGAAAAAAATAAAGATGTTCGTTGTAACAAGTCTTTTTAGCGAACTTGCATTTTATTTTATTATTATTTTTTTCCTTTTTCTATTTAAATAAATGAAAAACATTTTATGTAGAAAATTGTTGAATACGTTTTTTTATTTTAATTTTGTTTTGCTTTTCTGATTTTTATCTCTCTCTCTCTATATATATATATAAATACATATTTATATTAGTTATTTTATTTTTGGTAAAATATTATTATTATATGGTTTCCTTGTGTTAATAGGATTCTTACTTGGAAAGGAAGAGATAAAGATGGAATATATATCTTGCAAATTAAGAGGAGCAGATGTGAAGTTAAATGAGCCTTGGGCGTGAAGAAATAGGTGGCAGCAAATATAATTGGCGTAGGAGAACAGCAAGGGGATTGGTGTGTGGAACTAAAACAAAGAAAAAACAATACAGAGGCAGCAAATCATTTTCTATCAATTGGGCTTTGGAAGCTTCACCGCACACAAGCAATTCGTCTTAATATTTCTCTACCTTTTCTTTTGTTTCATGATATGATATGAGATCATTTGATTGTAAAACTCGCGTTTTGTGTTTTTCGTAGTTCACTAGATGCTTTGGATTGGATGAAAAACTTTGTGATTTATTTATTCTAGTGAAATTTTGGCATGTGGCCTTAGT